GGGGGGCTACAAAATTAAATGCCGGCTGACGATATATTTTCTAGGTGTGCTATCTTGAAGCCGTCACTTATTAGATTAGTAGACCCACTGTACATCAAGACGAGATTCCATCATTTAAACGACGGGGTTGTCTTATTGTCTATAAGCTGGGGGCATAAAGGAATAGGGCTCGCTCATTTTTCAGCGAGACTGTCTTTTTCTTTAAATCGCTTATTTTGGACATTTTTCGTGAACAAAAATCAAATGAACGGTCAAACGAAACTAATGTTTTTCTGTTATCAGGCACGTAATGTATTTAAAATGATAGAGGGACAATGACACACCGTGTTAACTTTTACCACAGTCCTTCAATATATGGGTTCTTACATAATATCTTTAACTTTGATGTGATCGTGGTGGGTTTTTTTAATTGTAACTAATCTGTGCCGTAATTGTATCACATTTTCGGCTCTCTCATTACTCCCCCCCCCCTCTCCCCCCTCCCTCCCTCCAACCCCTTTTCCTGTCTTCTTTACACTTCCCATAAGGCCAACCATGAGCCGCACTTTCCAATTATATTTTAATTCAGTAGAGTAATCAACTCGTTCCAAAAGAAAACACTGTAACATGTATAGCTTGTTCACTCTCCTCTGTCCGTGTTAAAAGATCTAGATCATTTATTATTAATTTACAAATTTTAGTGCACATGTAAATTTGCATGGCACTCCCGTAAGCCAGCGACCTAACAAAAATAATTATAACTTTTTAAAATGTTGACCCGCTATCTTTAAAAAGTTACTTTATTTGGGCCCTATATCAAACACCGCCCTTTGGCTGTATGTACAGGATCACTATTATAAAAATGATGTAGTATAGTAATCTAGCCTACATATTACTGCATATGTGAGGCATCGTGGTGGAATCACGCTCTCGTCAAAATAATCAAAGTGAAGAAAGTTGCATTTTTCCGCAGGTTTGTGAATTTTTACAAAATTTTTGTTGTAGCTCAAAACCTTTCATGCCCATTAAAGAACTCATTTTTGTGTGGATTTTTCTGAAAAACGTTGATAAAAGGCACAAATAATGTAAACTTTCAGTTACCACGGACTCTTAAGCTAAAGAAATAACGAATCTTTGGCAGTCACTTTCTCACTAATTTTACCTCTGAAACCAGGTGACCCCACCTCCTACTTTCACAAATATCTCGACTTGTATTCAAGATAAAAGGATATTTTTTTCATCCAAATAAAGACAAGTGAGCAAGCTTTAAGATGATACCAATAACTCTACATGCCCAAAAATTGACGAGAGCCTGATTCCACTGCGCGACACATATTGTTCTTTTACTTTATGAGAGCGACACCACTCTGTCCTCCCCCC